TGAGTAAAAATAGCATTTTTATTGATATAATTAACCCGTTTGATGGTAATCTCTAAATTGAGAAATTTTTTTAAAATTATATTGTTGCCATTTAAAAAAAAAAAGTTTTTGGAACTTTATATAACCGTGTATATTATATATATATTGATTAAATAAAATTAACTTACCAAAGTATTTTGGTAACCCCATGAATTACTCTCGTCTCCTTCGTTGGATAAATGCATTTTTATGCCTTTTACTCAAAATTCAGTTTCACAAAAAAAAAAAAAACCACTTTATATATTAATATTCGTTAATTTTATGCTTATACTGTCTCGCGACAAAAAAAATACGTTCTCACTTAAAAATTTGTACTTTTACGTAATTTTTGAAAAAAACCACCTTAACACCTGCATTTTTTTCTCGAGTTTTTTTTTGCTTTTCCATTTTTTTTTCTTTTCCACTCGCTCACTGATATGATGAATTCATTTGAAATAAATATAATAAATATATATATTATATATGTTAACGTTTCACGCACGAAATTTTGTCGACTGATGAAAGAAAACCGATTTTAAATTCACTATTTAGATTTTTGTTCTTATCAGCAGTTGGAACTCAAGTTCATCTGCATCCCAGTCTTTTCAAATAGATAACAGAACCATCTTCGTTCTTGAATTATTAATAAAAAGAGAGCGTTTTTTTTTTAATACACTTGAACGACACTTTTTTTCTTATTATAATTATTATATGAAAGTAAATAATATGAAAAAAATTTACAAAGACAAATTTTTATATATTTCAAAATTAATTTTGATAATAAAATTGGATAGTAAAATTAAAATTTTTTTATTTCAATTCAATTGATGATAATAATAAAATTAGAAAATATAATTTATAATTTTTTAAAATTAATTATTTATTTAATTTAATAATGAAATTTGTTAATTTGATTTAATTATAAAAATCTATTGAGATTTAATATTTTTACTTAAGTAAAAAAATGTTAATTAAAAAAAAAAACAAATAAATTTTGTTAAATTAATCAAAAATATTTTAATAATTTATTTATTGAAGTAGATAAAAATAAAAAAAAAAGTTAAAAAAAAAAATTTTTTTTCTTAGTAAATTTAATTGAATTTGATATATCAAACTAAATTGATTTTATTAATGATCTCTCATGAATTTCTATAGAATAAAAAAACCTGCTTAGCAATTTCAATTTAAAGACTTTGTTTGCTCGCCGTTTTATCTATAACTAACAGGAATATTTAAAATGGATAGATTTTTAGGAAATATATGTTTATTAAAATTGTGATGATATTACATATACATATATATATATTGGTTACGATTTCTTATAAATGCTGATAATCACGTGATTTAATAGTGAGCAGTATAATATGAATAAAAAAAAAAATGAATGATGCAAAAAAAAAAATTGTCTACAGCTATGCTGGAGAATTTGTGTGATTATTTGAAGAAAACACTTTTTTTTTTTACAAAAAACAATATTTTTAAAAAATATACATTCTATATTAAAGGGGGAAAAAAAATTTTCGTAAACAAATTCATGACTAATTGTTAAAAATAATTTCTCATTATATGTAAACAAAAATTAATTATTCTTTAATAATGCGATAATAATATTTTTTTTAATAAACTTTCAGTTAATAAAGTTAATAAATAAAAAAAGTATTTCAAGAAAAAACAATTTTTTTAATATTTTTGTGAAATATTAAAAATTATTTCTCAAGATTATTTTTGTTACCAATAATTTGTCTTATAAATTTTATTATCAAAAACTCGTTTGAGAAATTATAATTATTTATAATAACTATATTTGTAATAACTATTTTTTTCTCATTGTTATTATTTTTATATTATATTATTATTATATTATTATTTTATTATTATATTATTTTTATAATATTATTTTATTATTATTAATTAATTATTATAATAGTTAATTTTTTGAATATTTTTTTATATATAATCAAAATTATAATAATGAATTATTTGCAAAAGCATCAATTAAATGAAACATTTTAGTCCATTGATCTCGAAAATAATTTCTTTTGCGTTAGAAAAAAATTGATTGAAAAAAATTAATTTATCCGGAAAAACGTTTAATTATATATAGATAAAAGAAAACCACATTAGAGCGAAAAAATAAAATTTTAATTAAAAAAAATAGTCTTTACCTCGGAAAAAATAATAATTAAAAAAAAAAGTAAAAAAAAATCAGTAAATTAAAAATTTTTTCTAAATAGACTTTTGCAAAAAGATATTATTTTTTTCCGAAGAATGCAATAAAAAAAACACTGTCGAAACACCATAAAAAATTTGAAATATTTTTTAAAATATTTATTTTTATGTTTTTTAAATATTTTTTATATTTTTATATATTTTTTTTATATATTATTATTATTATTATTATTATTATTATTACACTTTATAAAATAATATTAAATAATATAATAAAAAACAAATATTATTGTATAATATAGTGGAATTTACAAAATTTTTATTATTAGTTTAATAAAATAAAAACAATTTCAATGCAATATATTGACGATGATAATGAAAATACAAAAATAGAAATTCCTGTTATCGTTAAATGGTGGAATTATAGAAAAAAAAAACGAAAGAAATTTCAAAAAAACAAAAAATCACCAACTACAATAATAGAGAAAGAAAAATGTATCACAACACATATTGATTTCCGCAAATTCTTATCACTGATAAAACGTATACACAAGTTTTATGACACCTTCGATAAATTCTGATAACAATCACTTCCGGTTTAAATGATTTGACATTTTGTTAAAGCTCTCAATGTAATTTTTCACCAAAAAATGGAAAACAATCAATGAAAAAAGGTTTAGAAAGAAATTTTTTTTACTTCCCAATTTTATCTCGTGAATATTTTTATATAAAGAGAATTTGTATAAAAAAAAAAAAGAAAAGTTTATTTCAATTCAGATTTCATAATCACGATTATTTAATAAATTTTTTATTTGTATTAATTAATTATTTTTATAAAATAGTTAATACTCGATAATTGTTTATTTACATTATAAATATTTATTTCAATAAAATAAATATTTTATTGATTTTATATCAGATAGATATTTATTTCTGTGAAATCAATAATTATTGAAATTTATAAATAAATATTTATGTATCAAACAAATAATTATTTTTATCAGATAAATATTAATTTGCCACAAGTAAATAGTTATTTGTATGAAATAATTTTTTTTTTCTATTAGTTAAATATTTATTTGAATGAAATAAAAATTTTTCTATTAGAAAAATATTTATTAAACAAAATATGTATCAATTTGAGTCAATTAGAAATAGAAATTTATTCATTAGAATAAAATTTATATTTGATTGAAATAAAAAAAATTTAATTCTAATTAATTTTTTTAATTTTATAAGTAAATCGATATTATTTGAATAAAAAAGAAATTTTTGTTTTCTCTCTCAATCTTAACCTTGAAAATAGAACAACCTTGCTTGTTGGATCATTTTTTTTTTTTTTTTTTTTTTTTTTCTTAATATTATAGAGATCGAATATCACGTGGTTAATAATCGGATGCCACTTTTCATTCAAGGAAGACTACTTTCTTGAATATTTTTTCTTTTCTTTTTTTTTTTGACGATAAAGGAATTACCGGCAAAGAGAATTGAGAAGGCGACTCTTTGTCTACAACCGTCTGTCCGGTAGGACGGTTGTAAAGCGACTGATAGGTGTTTGAGAGTCAATGAAGCTCCGTGATTTCTGTGGTTTACACAAGGAAAATACAAAAATCTTGACGGAGTTGGTATTGCAAAATTTTGTAAAAGAACCTTGACAAGAGGGATCCAATAGCTTTTAATTTTATAGTTGAGAAAAAAAAAGAATACATGCAAAAAAAAATAAGCATAGAAGAATATACCGAGTTAATTTCAAAGAACGAAATTGAAGACGTTGAGAATTAAATTTCACAAAAAAATTATACGATGATTTTTGCAATTATAAAATTTAATTACATTACTCGAATTTTGGGACTAATCGTTAATTTTTATTTTAAAAAATATTATTTATTATTATTATTATTATTATTACTATTAAGTATTTATTAAAGTATTAATTATATATTAAATAATATTGAATGACATTTTTTATCATTGAGATTCATTATTCACAATTGACATAATAAAATCCAAAGAAAAAACGATTTAATTCATAAATTTGTAAAATTTATTTTTATATTTTTTTTCAAATGGAACTGGAGTTAATTTAGAATTATTTTATCGAAGAAAATAATTTTTTGTTTAATTAATGACGACTTTTGACATTCTAATTAAATTAATTATTTCAATCGCTTTTATGTATTTTTTTTTTTTTTTTATTAAAATTTGTTTTTTAATCTTTATAGATGAACAACAAGATTATTTTCTATGAAATAATTCTTGACTGTTAAAATCAGCAAAAATTGTCTCATTACAAAAAATTATGAATTCAATGAATATAGAATTTTAAATTTACGATAATAAGCAAAAAAAAAAAAAAAATCACACAAGTCATATATGATAATTTTAACATTAAACGAGAAGTTAACATTTATTTTAGTCACATGATTCCAATGATCACAAGATCTTTCTCAAACTTGTTAATGAAAGTAAAACCAAAGTTCAATTTGAAAACTTTCCTCAAAATTTTTCATAAAAAAATATATAGTTCATGTGAAAATGAACATTGAATTTAGTTTATATCGTCTTGTATTGAGATTAAAAAAAAAAATTCTTAATTGGCTGTTAAATTAAATTAAAAATAAAGTAATAATACATTTTTTTATATATAGTAAATTCTATATATTTTATGTAAAATTTTTAAAAATATATTATTCATTGTTGTTAATAAATAGTACAAATTGTTCAAAAGGAAAAAAATTTCCATTTTAAGCATCAAAAAGTAAAAAAAAAAAGCGTAACAAAGCACAAAATACAAGATAAGAGAAATAGAAAAGTTTAAAAATAGAAACGTTTATTTAATTTTTCATTCTCCTCCTTAAACATTTCTACAAAAATATTTCAAGATACATAGTACAATATTTGTGCATTAATTACAGGAAGACATTTCGAAAAAATTTGTTTTTCACATAAGAATCGAGACTTCTTCCATTTCTTTTCGCCTCAAAAAAAAATTAATTTACAAGCAAAATTACAACATTAATACAAAGCAAACGTAAGTTTCACACAAATTTTCATTTTTTTTTTTTACAATCATCTTTATAAAAAAAAAAAAAATTATTTTGCACGAAAAAATGAATATTTAATTTGTCAAAAAAATATTTTTATTCATGGTCCCCTTGTTATCGAGAAATATTTTGTGCTCTATGAAATGGAAGATGTAAATAATTTTTTTTTCAATACATCAAAATTAGTAACATGTATAATATATACTAGAAAAAAAACTACACGGAAGTAAAATTGAACATTCTTTTTAAAAATTGAAAAACAGTACAGAAATATATAATATATTTATATATATATATTAAATATTAAATATTGAACTTACAATAATTATTTTTGTGTGTGAAACATAAAAATACCCCCCCAAAAAAACAAACTCTTTGGGAAAATATTAACACTTGCGCGTACAAATTGACAATAAAAAAAAAAATTAAAAAAAAATGTTACACATTTCCAAAATGGAAATTCAAACAGCCAATCAGCCTTTATTTTCTATATTATATGATTTAAATTCTCGCCACCTCAAAATTATTCTAATTTTATTTATTATTTTTTTTTTTTTTTCTTTACTCGAATGCATTAATCGCTGCATTTGATGAAAAACAAAGTCTCAAAAATATATTTTTCAATTCCTCTTTTTTTCTTTTATCAACGACTATCATTTTTTCATAAAAACTTACATTAGAGAGAGACACACACAATTGCTTTCTGTTGATATTCTCTGTCTAATTTTTTCCATTATTATTATTAGAAGGAGAAGAAGAAGCATCATCGCTCGGCAAACACGAAACTGCAAAAAAAAAAAAAAAATTGGAAAATTTTTAAAATCCAGTGAAATTAAATATAAAAATTCTTTTTCTATAAAAAAGCAAAAAAAAAAAAAAAACGGGGGTCGGACCATTAAATTTTAATCAAAGGGCCAATTCTCAATTAAAAAGAAATAATGAAAATATATATAAAACAAAATTAATTAATTAATTGTTTAAAATTTGGATAAATTAGATTTGAATAAATTAAAACTTAAAACAATCAAAATTTGGATAATTTTAAAATTAAATCAATTAAAAATTTAATTAAATTGAAATTTGGAAAATTAAAAACTTGAATCAATTACAATTTGGATAAAAAGTTTATGATCAATGATTGGAAAACTAATTATTTTATAGAACATTAAATTATTAAATTTTTTACTTAAAAAATGTTATTTATAATTTGTTCATTTATAAAAATTGCAAGAAATATCTTTGAGACGAAAAAAAACTTCAGCATCGTATCAAAATTTGGATAAATTAAAATTTGGATAATTTAAAAAATTAAATCAACTCAAATTTAGATAATTTGAAACATAAATCAATTAAAATTAAGGTAAATTGAAAATTTGAATCAATAAAAAAAAAATTGAATAAATTAAAATTCGGATAATTTGAAACTTAAATCAATTAAAATTTGAACTCTCTGAAGTTGGCTTCGACGTTCAGCGCCGAAAATTGTTTTTCGCATAATCAAAAATTCCAAAATTATTTTTTTTTTTAAATTTTTCAATCCAAATAATATCTTGAAAAATACTTCTCAAGGCATTGTGTGGACCAAAAATCCTTTTCAAAAATGTTTTGATATTTTTGATTATGTGAAAAACAATTTTCGGCGCTTAGCGTCGAAGCCAACTTCAGGGAGGTAAAATTTGGGTAAATTGAAATTCAAATAATTTGAAATTTAAATCAATTAAAATTTGAACAACTTGAAAGTTGGTAAATATGAAACTTAAATCTATTAAAATTTTGGATAAATTAAAATTCGGATAATTTGGAACTTAAATCAATTAAAATTTTAGATAAACTAAATTCAGAAAATTTAAAATTTAATTAAAATTTAGACATTTGAAACTTAAGTCAATTAAAATTTGGATAAATTGAAATTCAGATAATTTGAAACTTAAATCGAGTAATTTTTAGATAGATTGAAATTTTGTTAATTTTAATTTGCGATTGATTGAATTTGATTAAAAAATTATAATTTAAAAATTTGTTTTAACCAATAAAAATTAGAATTGGATCACTTGAATTTAAAATTAAACCCTTTACAAGAAATTCATATTTCAAGAAAAATAAATATTTAAACATAATTTTTTTTTTCGTTCCCTAGATATTATACAGAATCATTTCTGGAATAATTTTTTTTTTTAACCACAATGATTTTTGTCGAAATGTAATAGTATAACTTAAAATTTAAAAAAAAAATTTAATATTTTTTTTATGGACTTAGATTTTTTTTTTTGCAATACTCACCGATAATAATAATGAGAATAACAACTGCAATTGTGCCAATGATAATCATCATTTTTAAATTTTTCCACCAATATTTTCGTTTCAATTTTCCCGCCTGTTGTTCAAATTGACTGGCACCAATTTGAAGTGCATCCGCTCGATTATTTAATTCAGAAAGTTTTTGATCTCTTTCTAATACTTTGTCAACATTTACTTTCATTATTCCCACGACTTCATCGACTTTAGCTTGTGTTTGTTGTAATTTTTTACCCGATGGATTTTGTCCATTTCTTGAACTTCCCAAATCACCATCGCCAGAATAACCACCTCCCTCCATGATAATTCTGTACAGAAAGAAAGAGAACAATTTGATTTTAGAAAAACGTTTTAAAAATACTTTATTACTAGTAAATTATTAAATTTTTTTTGTTTTCTATTTTCTTTATATTACAATTTTAATTCATAATAAATAATGTCATAATCATCCTTTTACAAAATTTACACGTATGATAAATTTTAATATTTATTTTTCAAGTTTAATTTTTATGCATTTGCACACGTTTTATTTACGAATTTCGCTATTTCTTCACAGTTTATTTATTCTGTCTTTTATATGTTATATGTTTTAATAATTTATAGATTGAAAAAAATATTTCGTTCATTTAAACGTTCAAAACTTTTTGCTCATTTTTTTTTATGTTTCTTTAATGACGATTGAAAGAAATAGAAAGATAAATGAAATTTAAAATTTATTTCTAATTATTATGAAATATAATACTAAATTGTTATTTATAACAATTTTGTTTTTTTCAACCAACGAAAAAATATATAAAAATAAAATATAATTTACTAGGATAAATGTATACTAATTACGGCGCGACTCGAGTCAAAATACCTTTGAAATAGAAAATTTGACATTTCTATTGTATTAAGTAAATTGAAAATTTATTAAAGTAAAAGCTTATGTTCTTGAGATACATATTAAAAAAAAAAAATTTGAACTAAAAATCGATTATTTAAACAAATATGAAAAATTAAAACTAATACCGTAATTTTCTATTACGGCGCGTTTCGGTGACCAAAATTACGTGTATTTTGAAGATACTTTGCCCGCCGTAATTGAAGCCAATGAAAATCTTAAAAATGTTTCAATTTGCGGCGAGGGAAGAAATTTGATCTCAAATAATTAAATTAATAATTGTTTAAATGTGCATCTTTATAAGTAATTGTATCAAAAAAAGATTAAAATCATTTTACAACAATTATATTAAATATAATAGTAATAATAGTTATTTTTTATGAACGCACCGTAATTGATGCACTCGCCGTAATTAGTACACTTACCCTATAATATTATGATATATTATTCAATAATTTTATAATAAAATTTTATATATTTTTAAACAATAATAATAAAAATAATAACATTAGTAGTAACAATAATAAAATAATAATAATAATAATAATAATAATAATAGTAAAAATAGTAGTAATTTAAAAGCAAATATACAGTATTAACAATTGAATATTGTTTATAATTAACATCACATATCACTAAAAGAATTAACAATCTTATATTTGAAATTTTTTTTTTTAAGTATATAACATGAAAAAAAAACAAAGAAAAAAGAATCTAATGGAAGAGAACAAAGTACTTTGTAAAAATAAATTTGTTTAATAATTTCCATAAAAATGTTAACAACAGAAAAATAAAATTATTTTTGCAAAATTCTTTATTACGTGACATCTAATTTTAATAGTCTTTAAGATTTCAAAGAATTTCAAAGTACAGTGTACACGCCCATAACCTCAAAATTATCAGATTGTCTACTCTATAAAATAACCTGATCTTTTAAACAATATATTGTAATATTTATATATAATTAGAAAAAAAATTACTAAAATTTGTAAAATATTAAAATATAAATAACAATTTGTTGTTTTTTTTTTACTATTTTTAATCGTTATCAAATACCGGATATTGTAAGCCTGTTTGACATTTCGTTATATTATATCAACATGTAACATTTAGAATATTTAAATGGTTTTTATTATTGTTTTTGTCTACAATTAGTAAATGTAATGTTTAAATACTTACGTGAAAGTGTAATTTCGAATAAAGTAAAATAGAATTTATCTTGTATGATTCAAGGTACTAGTCTTTTTTTTTTTATTTAATTAATAATTAATTGTTTGAGCGATGACGAAGATACCAGAAGACACGAATACCAAGACAAGTCACAAATAACGGAAGGGAAGGGATTAAAATATGGCAACACTGTAACGATGTCAGGAACTAGAGAGAGAGAGAGAGGGACTCAAGATCATGAAGGTAAAAAATTTGAAAAGAAATTTTTTTTTTTAATAATAATGATTATATATTATATATATATATATCAATCTGTTAGTATTTTACTTTTACTAATTTTAGATTGGTAATAACAAAAATTTTGTTCAAAAAATTAGCTCGGTGGATAATTGTGTAATCACTAGTTGATAATCAGGAAAACTACATAATTAATCTATTTTTTTCAAAAAAATAATTTTTTCTTTGTAATTGCAATTGCAATTTTTAGTTTTTTTTTTTACATTAAATGTTTATATACATAAATTATGTCAGCAAAAGCAATTTTTGATTTATATCTTTTTACATTGTTGTATTACGGGTTGCATTTTCTATTTGATAAAATTCGATAATTAATTTAAAATTTTATTTTTAATAAAAAATGGAACTTAAATATTATTTTTTATATAAATTTATTGCAAATTAAAAAAAAAATTTTATTTAAAAAATAAAACAGACAAATTTTAATATGCCTGGAAAGATGCAACTCGTCGTGCATTTCTGTATATATTTCAATAAAATTATTTTACAACTGAAACCTGAAACTACATATAATGTATATATAAATGAAAAAAAAAATGTTGATTAAAAATTATTTTATTTTTCTTTTAAAATTAATTTAAAGGTTACAGATTTAGTTATAAAATAAATTTCAAATAAAAAATTTGGCTTAAAATTTATAGTACATATATAAGTTTAAAATTAAAAAACACTTTGATAAGAGTTTATATAGTATTAATTTAAAAATGTATGGTATGAAAACAGTGACCGACACTCTTTAATAAAATAAAAAATATTTTAACTACTCGTTAAGTAACATGATATTTATTAATATTATCACAAATTTTATTATTCAGATTTAATGTACAAAAAAAGTAGTTGCTTTTAAAATATAATTATTTAACAATTTCTTCATTATTTATAAAATTTGTAATCAATAAAGCAATTTTTTTGAGGTTAGTTTTCTAAAAAGTAAAATATTGAGGAAAATATAAATATTATAAAATTTTGTGTCAGCTGTTTCAGTTTCTAAATATTGTATATTAATTAATTTACTAGTGATATTTAATTCAATATTATTATTTTTATAGTTATTATCGTTTTTAATAGCAGGTGTCGTTCACTGTACCTTTTTACTATTTCTAATTAATTTTTTGTAAAATTTGGTTATTCGAATTTTTTTAAGGTTATTGAACAATTTATAATTCCATATATAAAATAATAATACAATAGTAATAATAATATACAATAGTAAAATAATAATATAATAGTAATATAAACATAATAATAATAATAAAATGCCAAAATAAGGCGACTTGTTCGAAGTGGACACTTTGAGGCCGAAAAGAAAAAACAATCAGGGCCGTACAATGTATAAAATTGTTGGGCGCTTGTTATAATAAGTACTGTTATACATATGAAGCATTTTTTTCAATGGAAGTTGTGGGATCATATAATTAGTGAATATTTTTTATAAATTATATTTATAAGTAATAATTTCGGTTCATATTGAAACAAACCAAAAATAAGTTTACAAAAAGGGGCACTTTAAACTGACGCTACTGCTTCTAGTCTATCGTCCGCCATTAATTTCCCCCCAACCCTTCTTCTGGCCTTGCCTATGACTGATGTAAACAAAGTCTATAGTTCGAAGGTTATAGTGTACATTTATATAATTAATTTACATAATTAAATTTTTATAATTATTTATATAATTAAAGTAAATTTTTATTCGAACCGCAAATATAATTTGAAATTCAATAAATCTATATTTTTTTTATCTAAATATATAACTATTTTTTTTTTTTTATTTGCAGAATAACATAGCCTACAATCAAAATGACCATAACAGGCACTAGTGTATATAAATAAATGATTTAAAGAGTACTCGGTGAAGTTTTATGTTAATGATAAAAAAAAGTTTTTAGATAGTTATTAAATTCGAGTATTGTACAACTAATTTTTTTTTTTTTTTTTGAACCAAACAAAATTTGTCACAAATATAATTATTAATACAATTTTTTTCTAAAGTGCACATTGACATTTTAATGCAGATTTGCTATCTTAAAAAAAAAGAAAATAAAACGCCCTTAAGCACACATATACGATAATCCCAAACGTAAAATAAATTTTCATTCTTCTTCAATTTTAAAACTCGGTCTTTTCTTGTAAGACAAACGTTTCCACCCACACACACAAAGAATTATAAAAAAAAATCTTTCCTCCCACTCGAATTTTTGTTGTATATATATATACTCATTTCAACCCTCTCGGCAAAATTATTTCTCTTTAAAGTAAGAAAAAAAAAAAAAATGTTTCCCTTGTAAACATATTTAATTTTTTTTTTTTATATTTCTACTCACCATTTTCAATCATTATTCTTGTTTTTCTTTTTTATCAAATAGAATTTGCAAATTTATGTTGTCACTGATTTTTTTTTCTTGCACTTTTTTTTTTTTTTTATAATAAACGATGTTATTTTTAAGGGGTAACAAATAAAATATGTAGCATTCCATAGCTGTGCTTGTTGGCGCTCGTGTGTGTATTATATTTTCTGACGAAATGATATAGTTTCTTCAAAGCGCGCAAGTACTTGGGGTTGCATTGTATAGGCGGATTTGGTTTATTGACTGAGGGCGTTCGCGCATGCGCACAACAAAAACTACCCTTTAGATGAGAATTTTCATTTCGATCGCATCATCAAAGTGACATTTGTCGTGTGTGTGTATATTCACCGCGAGTGCATTGCGGATATTTTACTTGGGAAAAAAAAAAATTTTTTTTTAAAAAATACAATTTTCATAAAAATAATTCCTTTCACCCAAATTTTTTTGTTTTAAAAAAAAAAAAAAAAAAAAATTTAACACTTTTTCTCACTGTATTTTACATTCGCTTTGTGCGCTACTGTATATATTTAGGTATAGTGTATGTGTATCTTGGATTTTTTTTTCTCATTTTTGAAATTTCGCGCGCTTCCCTTGGTCTATATTATAGTGGGCGAGTGAGATAACGCGACGACGCGCTTTAATGCCCGACATAGTGGCTGGAAAATTTATCAATACCAGCGCACCTAGTCGACGACAGGGTCGCTTCGAGTAGTCCGCGCTCCAATTAAAAGCGCTTAAAACCAAGAAAAAACAGAGACGAAAACATGTGAGTAAATTAAAAGTTGAAAGTGATTTTTTCAAAAAAATAAATAAATTCGAGTTTTTTTTTTTTTTTGTTATTATTATTAAAAATGAACTTTTAATAAATACGCGATATAAAAGTGTCTTTTATACTCGCGCTTCGCACCCTCTTATTGGTTTTCCAACTTGACTATATATATATATATATATATGTAATATTGACGTTTTTCGCTTTTTCATCCGTGTCCTGCTTTTCCTCGCTCGATTATTTCTTCAATTATATTATTTAAAGAAAAAAACGAAAAAAATATAAAATTAGTGTGGGAGTGATTTTTTTTTTGTGTTTTTCATGTGAAGTTGGCTACAAAAATAGAGTGGGTGGGTGTAGGGTTGGTGTTTCCCTTTTTTTCTCTCTTTATATTTGGGGAGAAAACATCGATTGGTGAAGGTGCCATTCGGATTGGGGGGTAGAGTATAGCGTGCGTTTTCCCACTTTCCACGAGATTTTATATATATATAAAAAATATATTATAAAATATAATATATTCATATATTAATATAATACTATTATTTTTATTATATTATATAATATAATAAAAATAATAATATTATTATATATAATATTATATTTTAATATATAATTTTTAGTATATATTTATGTAAAATATATTATATTTTATAGGTATATATATATTTATCGATATTATTAATATTTAATATTTGTGTGGAATTTTTATAATTTTTCGACAAACTTGGATTTTGACTAATTTCGAGTGTTTTTTTGTCAATTATACACTATGGGTATGATTTTTTTTTTTTTTTTTTTTGTATATAATATTCACTATTATTCAGTTTTGTAATTCATTTTTAGGATTTTTTTTTTTATTGCATTCTCATTACTGTAGTAAGTGATTTTTTTTTCATTTAGAAAAAAAATTATTCTTCTAATTTATATTTATTTTTTGAAACACCACCGATTATAATTAATAATTTTTTACATCCATTCTCCATTTGTTGATGTATTAATTTTTTTTTTTACTTGACTTTAAAATAATTAGAAAAATAAAAAAAATCTACAATTAGAAAACAAATCATTTTTTAAAAAAGGAAAATTAAATAATTGTTCTTATTTAAAAAGAAATTTATAATTTTTTTGATTAATAAAAAAAAATTGCAATAAATATCTTTTGAGACGAAATTTTATAGAATTTTTTTATTAAAAAAAAAATATTTCTTTATTATTATTATTATTATTATTATTATTATTATTATTATTAGTGCGATTCCAAGTGAGATTTTGACTTTTTCGGAGTAGGTTAACCGATTGCAATGAAACTTTGGAATTTTGTTATATATAGTAAGACTAATCTTTAACGTAAATTTCAGCCTAAAATATTTGTTAGTTTACGAGATTTGCAATAATAACAAAAAATTTAAAACTGCTATATCTTCCGTTCTAATAAACGGATTGAGGTCTACTTTTTTTTAAAATGTCAAGGAAAATGAGAGGAATAAATCTCTTTCAGAACATTTTTTTATAATTTTACAACTAAAAAAATTATTAAATAATAATTGAATAACTTTCGCGCGACTAACTAAAATTCAATCACTTAAACGCTAAAATGATCTTACCTGTGTTTTCTTTAATGTTCCAAAGGATTTTTATTGTAAATGTAAGTTTAACTTAAGAAATTTTATTAATTTATTAGTATAAACAATTGAGATTTCTGCTAGTTGACGTGCAGACGACATTGCGCACGCAGCATTCTCACATAGCCAACTGACGTGATTCGTGGACTAAATTGGCTATGTGAGAATGCTGCGTGCGCAATGTCGTCTGCACGTCAACTAGCAGAAATCTCAATTGTTTATACTAATAAATTAATAAAATTTCTTAAGTTAAACTTACATTTACAATAAAAATCCTTTGGAACATTAAAGAAAACACAGGTAAGATCATTTTAGCGTTTAAGTGATTGAATTTTAGTTAGTCGCGCGAAAGTTATTCAATTATTATTTAATAATTTTTTTAGTTGTAAAATTATAAAAAAATGTTCTGAAAGAGATTTATTCCTCTCATTTTCCTTGACATTTTAAAAAAAAGTAGACCTCAATCCGTTTATTAGAACGGAAGATATAGCAGTTTTTAATTTTTTGTTATTATTGCAAATCTCGTAAACTAACAAATATTTTAGGCTGAAATTTACGTTAAAGATTAGTCTTACTATATATAACAAAATTCCAAAGTTTCATTGCAATCGGTTAACCTACTCCGAAAAAGTCAAAATCTCACTTGGAATCGCACATTATTATTTTTTTTTTGTTTGAAAAAAGAAAATTGGAAAAATTATAATTTATAAAATGGTAAAATAATTACCCTCTTAAAATTCATAATTTTTTTTAGTAACATAAAAATTATTAGAATAAAATAAAAACAAAAATATTACTATTGTAAATTAAAATAAGTCTAGTAATGAAAATTTGAAAATAAATAAATAAAATTAATTACCATTCACAAATAATAATTTGTTATGTAGTAAAAAAATAATAATTGTTCTTTTAATTTTATTTTTCTAAATTCAATTATATATTAAGTTTAATGATTTTTCATATGCAACATCGATTTTCTGTCACCATTTTGTAATTTTCGAAAACTTTATCCATTTCAGTTCTCCAAATTACGACTTAAAATTTCTACTTCTTTTTTAGTCTTTTTTGTGAATAGAAATGAATTATTTATTTTTTTTTTTTTTTTAATAAAAAAACGATTATAAACCGAAACATTTTTTTCTAAGAAACAGTTATAAACATAAATATTTTTTTTTATAAAAAACAATTATAAATCGAAATATTTTTTTATGAAAAACAATTATAAATCGAAATATTTTTTCTTATAAAAAACAATTATAAATCGAAATATTTTTTTTATGAAAAACAATTATAAATCGAAATGTTATTTTTTATAAAAAACAATTTATATGCTGATTTTGTAGTTTTCGAAGTCAAAAGCGTGATAATAGAATTTTTTTCAAAATTGTTCAATAAAAATATTTGAATTTACCAAAATTAGTAATTATAGATAAATATTTGTATTTTATATAAAAAAAAATAAACTTATATAATAGATAACTACAAAAAAAAAATTTTAAACAATTAAAATTGTGAATTAATTATATATTTTCCAAATTATTGAATTCTATAATTTTTAATAAGTTAATAGTGAGAGAAATAATATTTAAAATTTCTTGAAAAATTTATTACATTTTGAAAAAAAGATAAATCTTTTAAAAATTTGTTAAGAAAATAATAATAATATTCAAATACTGTAATATATTTATAATGAAAAATTTTTTCAGAAAAATTAATTTCTTTATTTTTATATTTAATAAAAAAATGAAACATAATTTATTTATTTAATAATTTAATAATTGAATTACGAAATTAAAAGTTTTAAAATCAAATTAGTTGAATGTATATAGTTTAATATTTATATTAATAAGATATTTATAGTTTAATATTTTTAAATTTTTATCATGTAACTTATACATATAGTTAAAACAGACATTAGTATATCGATCGCGCAAATAAAATTCAAGTGCATTATATATTTTTTTATTGAAATTAAATTGCAAAATAATGATTTATAATATATTATTTAAAATATCATTTCATCAGAATATTGTAACTGGATTAAAATAGACGAAAATTTGAATAATATAATATGTTAATTAATAATTGATAATAATTAATCCTATATATATATAATTAATAGAATTGATCAAGAATTTTTCCACCTTATTAATTATTATAATGTAAAAATATTTTTTAATTATAATTTCGTCTTTCTTGTCAATTATAAAAAATATTGATTATCATTAATCAAAAAAAAAAAAAAAAAAAAAAGAATCATATTCTATACATATTTTTGCGAAAAAGAATTTTTATTAAAAACCGCTGCCAAATTGTAGTGTTCATACCTTCGTATTTATTTTTCTTGTTATCGTTTCATAAAAACTTTGCTTTCTCATGGAAATGAAAATTTTTCAATTAAAAAACAAAAACCTTTTCAAAAAGTCACGTTTAATATTTTTTTCTCTCATTTGAAACATCAATAATTCGATAAATATTACTAAAAAATTTTTACAATATTCACCAATAAGAAAAAATATTCCGCTAAAATTTTTTATTTATTTATTATTTTTTTTTATTGAATAATAAAATTAAAAATAAAAAAAAATACATTTTTTTTTTTTAAATAAAAACTTCAGTGTCAAAAAATTATAATCGACAATTTTGACCATTTTTATATTTTCTTCTATGAGGAAGTGAAAAATTCTTTTTATTCACTTTTTTTTCAATAATTAAATTAAAAATACAAAAATATTTTTTTCAACTTCTAATAATATTATCAAATCTCTTTTTCAAATTATATCAATTGATGTTTAACAATGATCTTAAAAAAAAGTAGTTTTTTTTTCTTCATTTTACGACAATTTTCAGTCATAAAATGAAGTTTAGCGAAAAAAAGCAGCATTAAACTGTGAGGTCATATATTACTTCTTTTTATGAACGTGAACAATGAAAAATCACATATATATATATAGAATGTTGCTTTCTTTGTTAAATTCATTATTTTGTTGCAAATGAAGTTGATACGTCTGTATGTATATAAAATTTCAACTTTAAATTTATGTTTTACTTTGTGATATACAACCTATATTTGCGTATACAATTTCTTTTTATTATTTTACTATATACAATGGAACAATAAATTCATAAATATTTCAAAATTTTTGATTTTTTTTTTTTTTTTTTTTTTAGTAATTTGTGTTTTGTATTTAAAATAATATTTTTATTGTTATATTGTTATTTATTGTATTATATTTCTTATTATTATTATTTTTTATTATTGTTGTTATCGTTAATATTTTTTATTATGGATTTTTCTATTTGTTTTTTTTTTTATTATTTTATAACACTATTTGACTATTGTTATTATTATTGATAATATTAAATTCTTTTATT